TATAAAGGAGACTTGTTCATTATTAACACACACACACACACACAGTCCGCTAGTAGGAAATGGCCAAATAAATACTAATTGTTTATTTTTCTTTTAAGAAAAAAAAATTAGGTTTGCCTAAGGTAAGGAAGGGGCTCCTCATGACCCTGTACAAATGTTAACAATTCTTAAAGGGACCTTGAGAAATCTCTGCACAAATTGAGAACTTTATGACAAAGGATATTAGAATTTTAGAATCCAAATAAATAAATACATATACACCTAGGATTGGTCCACAGTGGTTTTCACTTTATTTATTTATTTATTTTTGGATTTCACTTTAAATACAGTAGAACCTGTATAGTTAACCACCTCCCTCCACTGACCTCCTCCTTAAGTTGCCCTAATTTTCATAAACTGGACATGAGCCACATGTATGTATCAGTACAGTAGGCCTAGTCCCTTATGTTGACTACCTCCTTATGTAGACCAGTTTGTTACAGTCCCTTGAGTGGTCACCTTACAGAGGTTCTACTGTGTATTAAATAGTTCTTGTCACTAGGCAGAGTTCTTTTACGTCTATCTGCACTGCTCTTGCTTCCCCAGTAAGCTAGTAAGGTGTACAAAAGTAATCCTACCAGTAACAACACATTGCATTTATTTAGTTCCTTATGGATTTCAAACATGCTTTCTCATCTGTTTTCTCTTTGAAATCAGTCCAAAAGTTGGCAAGAAAATAGTACTAACTTGGTTCAGTTTCTTTCAGCAACTATGATGAAACCCGAGGCCAGGGTGGGGGAGGTGATGGAGTGGAAGGAAGCACGTAAGAACTACAGCCGGTGCCCAAGAGCCGCAGCAGTAGCCCTTGCTGTGACAGGTGTGATGTCACAGGGCTGCTGTTGAATGTGCGTGAGATGTTCCTGAGTGCTTGACTGCTGAGGTCGTTTCTTGGTCCCTTGTTTTCACGAAGTACATATGCTGGCTGGTGGCCCAAGGAGTGTTCACTAGCTATAGAGCAGTCACATCTGTTCACACACAGTTCTGTCTGTGAGACAAAAACCTTGTCAGTTTTCCTTGACCTAGCTCTCTCCCTTACTCTCCAGTCCAATATGAATTTTATCACTGTAGTCAAGTTGATTTTACAGACTTAGAATCTTCACCTTCATTTACATTCTTTTATTTCATTCAACTATCATATAGCCCTTTGACATTAGGGTATTTCTTACCTCATTTTACAGAAGAGGAAGCTGAGATCCAGAAGTTTGATAACTTGCCCACGTCCACATGGCCAGCAAGGAATGAGGCTTGGATTTGCCCATAAATCCAACTCAAAATCTATTTTATCTGACTTCAGAGGCCAAGTTCTTGATGATAACAGCTACCATTAGTTGAGTGCTTATCAGGTTTGTGGCGCTGTGCTGTGGGCTCTGCCTGTATGACCTCATTTCATTTTCCCCACATAATTTTATGCTAGTAGTTTAGGAAGGGTGGGAAAACAGAGAAAACAGAAGTGCAGAAAGTTTATGGAACTTGCCCAAGGACACACTGCTCAAGAGTGAGTTGACCCAAGCAATTCGATTCCATATTCCAAGGTATTGCTCAGGATGTTAATATACTTCCCAAAATTGGGATTCAGAAAATTTAAAACATTTGTTGAGGAGCATAGGTCTGGTTAGGTACAGGACCAGAGCCAAGACCTGACTCTTCACATGAGATTATATTTGAGTCATGCCATGGTCTTAGGCCTTTCTCTTCTACAGACCAATTATACCCTCCCCTCAAAGCCTGTCACCTCTGACATCACCCCAACCCTGTTTGAGTCCCTGCCACTGCACCTGGCGCCCTTCAGCTATTCCCAATGCTATCTGTACCTTCTCCAAGGCTGCCGCTGCCTGTGTGGGGGAGGAAGCCTCCACCTCCCCTGCCACCCACACAGCCCCCAGTCCCTAAGTTGATCTGCTGTCTGCTGCAGTTCAGACAAACTTATTACTGTACAGTCTCGGCTGCTAATAACTAAGGGAAATTCACCCAGTACCATAGTGACTTCCTACCTTTTGAAACCAGACATTTCAAACTAATAGAGCCACAGTCTCAGACAAATCCTGCCCATCCCCCTCACTGATAAATTCTACTCTATTGGCTGTAATGCATTTCTTACAGATGTTTTAAGTTAAGATTGGGAAAGCTGTGTTTTTACTGGATTGAATCATAGCACTTGGCTGACATGTTTTGGCCCTTCATATATGCCTTAGATTTATCAGCTAATTACAGACACTTTGAGAGAATAATATAGCATGTGTTTATTATGACATACTTTGTTAGTGTATCTTTGTGGTCAAAGATCCACTGATGTTTCCTTCACCGATCTCTGGTTAGGTATCAGAATTGATTCTAAAAGGTTGGTTCAAACTCAGGAACTTACGTGGATGAAAATTTTATGTATGTGTTTGGGGAATGGGAACAGTATTAAGTCTACTAGCTCTTTTTTTATTCCTGGACTGTTCTGAAATCTTTAGCTGTGGATGATAAAATTATTTATGAGATGTTAAATTCCTGAGGAATTGTATTTAAGACATCAAAAAATAACTGTGTTGCTCTAAGGCCACCGTTTAATTCGGTTCTCCTTCTGGGTTAGTCCTGTTTCGTCACACGTGGCCTGTTTGCAGACTTGTGCCTGTGGACAATCACAGCAACCCCTGAAGTGTCCCATTAGACAGGAGGAACATAATGGCAGCAAGTTGGTCGGGGTCGGGGGCTTGGAGGGAAGATAGACAACCATCAGAGTCCAGGCAGGCAGTCTGAGATGAGTCCCCATGCACCAGGATCCTAGTAAGCCCCAGTCCCAGCTCATTGCTATATGATTAGGAGACCAAAGAGACTAGATGGAGCATAGGAAAAGAGAGGGGGGAGAAGCCAGCAGGGAAACACGAGTGCCCAAGATGTATCCTTGGTGTCCCTGATCCCAAGTCAGACTGACAGTGAAAGGAAACCACATGCTCAGTGTTGACACCAGGCGGCCAGAACAAGGTGTGTGAGGACCACTGACTGACAGATGGGCAAGGATGTAGGAGTTTGGAATATTCCCTTCCTGCCACGCTCAAGATAGGCTCAGGGACTAGTAAGGAAGACACAGCTGCTCCCATGCCTGGTGGGGGGAGGTGTCTGGGTAAGTGGAGGAAATAAAGCAAAGGCTGAGGGGACAATTTACTTCCAACTGTGGGATCAGGAGGAAGCTGAAAACAAAAGAATAAAGTACAAAAATGCCATGAAATTGTATAGAGTAAAGAGAAAGTAGCTGGAAAAATCTGAATTTTAGAATTGTCAAAGGAAGAAATGCTACTTTTTATGACTTGCAGGTGTATAGAGTTAGCTAAAATTCATGGTTGTAAGACAACCCATTTCAATAAATAAATTATAATGTTTTGGCATCTGTATCTCAGAGAAAGGTCTTCTTAAGCATGTTTTTTCATTTCCTTTCACAATGCTTCTCTATAAGGATGCCCAGATTTCTCTCTGGAATGGGTAAATATTATCTCTTCTGAGAAACTGGTTTGTTTTCATTTCACAGATTGAAAAGTTCATAAATATTGTCTGTCCTTTCCATTTGCTACTAGAAACCTTGGAAATAAATCCACTTTTTGCAAGGAAATAAGCTCCTCACAGCATTTTTTTTCTATGATCTTCTTGCTCCTTGCATCATCGTCTCCTTCTTTTCCCTTAATCTGTCCCTCCTGTTTTAAATTATTGCATCTTTTATTTGATTGCGTCTTGTGGTGTATGTGTTACTTAAGCTGGAACAAAGAAGCAGATATAAATAAATATATCAATGCAAATAAATGGCTGTTTCCCAATGCTAAAAGATGATTTGTTCTCTTACAGGTTTTATATTTTATAATTACATCATTAGTTGCTTTAACAAATGCCCCTTTCGTGACTAGAGAAATGGTTGCCATTAGCCCTCTGAATCTTCTCAAATTCCAGATTAAGTAAGCCCCAAGTAAAGACACTATATTTGGTTGGAAATTAACTCAGTGTCCTATACTTGTTTAAAATACCTGGCTCACATTCTAGAATCAATATGCAACAAGAGGTAGGATTCATAAATGGCAGAGCAAAGCTTAAACACTACTAATCAGTTGCCCTGCTCTGGCCAGAAGCCTTAATTATCAACTTCCTACACAGTCATGGGGTTCTCTGACTCCATTAAACCTATAAGACTCTGGTGGACAGGAGTACAATGCCATTTAGTAAGGAGTGAGGCACAACACACAGTCTTCTAAACTCTTTTCACAATATCCTTCCAGACTTTTCTATTAGAAAGGGAGTAATCCTACTGTGCAGCTCCTGTGAAGAGTTGACTCTCTCCATTCTGTCTCCAAGTTACTCTATTATCACTGTTATTTTTTAGTTTTCAAGCTCCCTTTGTTCCAGTTAAAGAAGTCTATGTGCATTTCTACTTTCTCACTTTGCTCATGTCTTACCCTACCTGGACCCCCACCCTCCCCTAACTCACTCTCCTTCACTTGAACCCTCCCTCTTAGCTCCCACCTCTTCCAAGAATCCCTTCCAGGTGTACTGCCCCCAGTGATTTGCCCGTGAACTCCAGAGATCTACCATCTGCCCCTTTGCCCTTGATAATGGTTTGCCATATGACCAACCATTATCATTTATCATTTCAAATTCAAGTTCCATTTGCACAACTCTGTATTAAACCTCCATGAAACTAAGCCTAGTATATCTTAGGCTCAATAAATATCTACCAATGGAACAAATGAATGAATAATTCTATGGCTTTTAGTCCCCCAACAGCATCTAGCACATTCTGGCTCATTCATTAAATGTTTGGCATTGATGGTAGTAGTAAAGTTGTTACTCTCTCCCTTACACCTACCCCCACTGCAATCCAATGTCCTGCACCTTCCTACCTTCCTATGTCTATCTCAATAGCAAAAGCAAAACCGTAGTTCTCTCTTTGAACAAAATAAGTTGTGCATTGACTTTTTCATCTCCTCTCCTCCTAGATTTTGAAGAAGTCCTGCATTGAAATTCTAGCAGCTGAACCATCTACCATATGTGCAGGAGGTAAACTAAAATTAAATGCTAATCACTTTTATACAAATTAATTATATTTTGAGTTCAAATCATGTTTGTTTCCTTGGTGGAAGGGCAAGGGAGTGGAGCAGGAAGGGAGAGGGTAAAAGGAGGAGTAGAAAAGGCTAACTAAATTTGTTTCTGTAAAAACAGAAAAGAAAGAAGCACATGTCTGATGTTTGGAAGTTTGAAAAAAATCTGTCCAAATTCTCTCCTTTCATGGAACATACAAGGGAAGTGTACACATGCTGGATTCCCACATCAATACTGAATACTGAGTCACCATCAATAAATACCCTGCCTCTGGGTAGAAATGGATTCATCCTCGTGACAGCTGTGCCGATAGGAGACAATCATAGTGTTTAAAAGCCACCCCTAAAATGTTCATATATTGAAATAAAATTAGGTGGTCTGGCCTTTCTGCACAACTTATATATTGATCCTAATTGTATAATCCACCAGTCCTCACACAATGGTGTGGCCAGCTCCCGGTAGAGACCCCTTATAATTTTGTCTTTAGTATAGGAAATCTCTGCTGTATACAAAGAATCAGCCTTCCTTGAGTCACAGTATTTTCTCTAACTGATCAAAATTGGGGTCTTGCTCTTATTTTGTATTATCACTCACTGCCTAAAACGTCAAACATGCTGGCTCTTCTCATATAATTCCTGACAAGTTCCCCATCACTCTTCTTTCACTCATTTAAAAGGTAGTTAAGCACCTATTGTTAAGTACATGCCAGGCACTATGTGAGGTGCTGGAGATCCGAAAAGAATAGACTCTGCATGAGTCCAGGAACTTACATCTTTCACTGTTGAGAGTTCAATGTTGGTGTCACCTTTTTGCCTCCCAATATACCAAGTGCAAGTTATTAATTTACCAACAGAAAATGTGTTATACAACCCCGATAAAATAGTAAGCATTGAAGGAAGAACTTTCAGGCCTTTTCAGACACTATACATTTCAATGTTTATGGCTTATTTTATTGGCATACATAAGAGAATCCCTTGAGGATTTCGTCCCAGTTTCTTGGCTGTATTTTAGAACAGCTGGAAGACTTTCAGAGAGTTAGATGCACTGAATAATCTGTGCCAAGAGCAAAGTATTATGTATGTATGTATGTAAATATATGCAGTCATTAGCAACAGTTGGTCACTATTCGGAGATATGTATTAATTTCCCAAAGAAAGACAATCAAAAGAGATTACCTACTAACCTTCAAATAAATTGCTCCCTAGCAACACAAATGACGGGTAAATCCAGAAAAATCTCTTTGAGAAAAAGAATTCAGAAATCATACATTTGCAAAATTGACAGAAACATACAACCACATGACCACAGTGCCAAGACCTGATAGGGGCCCAGGCAGCGAGAAGTGTCAGTTAGGCTTCATACGCCTCAAAGCACCTCTGGGCTTTCTGCACTTCAGGTCGAGTAAATAAGTGGGGTATTTAGATTCGTTAAATCTTGTGTAGCATTCTTAAGTATAATACATTTTTAATAGCTACCTAATGTTAAAATAGAAAACAAGGGAGTTCCTTAATTGTGCAATTATCTATCCCATTCATGAAGAAAACCGAGACTTTCAGGTCAGTAATCCTTTTGTGTGTGTTGCAACCTTGTAATGAATCAGAAAGTCTAAAGACAACACAATTTCTGTTACTTCACTAGCACCATCAGTTCTCCTCCTCTAGATTTCTAGCACACAGAGAAGGAACTTTATTTCTCTCCACTTCCCACTGCCTAGTAGGGCATCTGGCACTTAAGAGGTGATCAGCAAATGTTGACTGAATGTCTTGATACCACATGTATTGCATCAAAGAACAAAGTCGCAGATGTTTGCCTCTTTGACCCTTCTTAACTCCTCTCATCTAACCACATGAAGTTAAAAATCATACCTTTGAACTGTTGAATTAAAATAAGTCAAAATTAGATATTAAAAGCAAAAGATAGAACACAACCAAAATAAAAATCTTAACCACATGGGCAATAGAAAAATATCTTCCTAAATAATTGTAGACTGAAAAAGTAAACTAAAGTCTCCTTTACATACCATTAAGACGTTCGAGACAATTTAAACACCACATACGTAAACTAAACGAACATAGCACAGAAATACCAGAGTTCATAAGATCTGGTCCTATCATAGATATTTATATGTTTCTTAGTAAATGAAAAATAAAAAGAAAGAATTAAGTAAAAGATTTTTTTTAAAGCTAAGGAAAATACAAGAAAAGAAGGTAAAAATGTATCAATAAGTTTAGACTAATTAAAGTAATTAAATTGATAAGGGCTATTTCTTTGGTAGAAATAGATAAATCTGATAAATCCAAGCTAAGGGATCTTTTCAGATATTCTTCAACTCTGCCTTATGTGCAATATTTCATATTTTACTTAAATAATAGTTTTCCGTACCAGAGTAAACTGTCCAATTCTATTTCCTTTATTTCTTATAAAGAAAAAATTAACACAAAATGCAATGATGGAAGCTGGCCCTAGGTTTTGAAAAAGGCAGGTTCCTTTATCTCTTGAGCTAGAATCATAAAGGTTAAAATACACTGATCACAGAATAACATTACTAAGAAGAAAATGAAACTTGCAGAAGACAGCCTTACATCCTTCAAAAAATAAACTCACAAAGTTACATCAAAAGTTCTCACATGCATTTCCTGCAACGTCTATTGTTGATGATTCTCTGGGGTGAGCATGGCTTTCCTGAAGCATGAAAACCTATTTCATTGTCTGCACTACAAATGCGTGTCCAATAGAGCAAGGCATAGCCCCTCTGTGATTTTCACTGGGCTACTTCAAGGATCCGGGGATTTTCCAGGGATTTAGATGAAAGTGCTTTGAAGAGCATAAACTATTACGCAAAAACAAGATGTTATTATTATCATCAGCATCACTTTAATAAGGATTAAAAGGCAATTTAGAATTGTGATGCTAATAACATCATGTCTAGATGCGAAAAGCATGCTTGTGTGTTTCTTCACTAAAAGAAGCTTGGGGAGGACATTAGAGAGTTCAGAGTATCTACAAAATGCTCAATTAACTCAGTGATTGAAGGAGACAAAAATCAAGTAAATAACAGATGGTTCACATCTCTAAAGTATAATGGTGGGATCAAGCCCTAGACAAATAGGCGAGGAAGGTAGAACTTGCTTTTATCAAAAACCTTTCCTCTCAGCCCCCTCCCCTCATTCTCTGTGAATCCCTTCCTTTCCTTGGCCCCCAGACTAGCCCCTGCTGTGGAACTCCACCCAAGTCTGCCCTGCCCAAGACACTCTATGCATGACTGCGTTCCCCTAAGACAGTGATCTCAGCTGGCTCTTATCGCCAACTCAACACCAGCCACGGTTCTGACGACAAACAGCTCTTAGTGAGGCAGCAAGATAAGGCACTGGGTAGGCAGGAGAACCAAAACCCAGCACAGCCCTTTGTATGCTGGGCTGCACATAACAAGGTGAAATTTAATGTGGCTAACATAAAAAGTATTGAACTTGAGTTCAAATAGCCAGTTTCGTGTACAATCAGATCTAGGGACACCTGACTTAGGAATAGCATGCAGTGTGGGAAGGGGGTGTTCAGAAAGGAGTCTAGTCATAGCTGTCTTGGCAACCAACAAGAATGCCTCCCAACAACCATGACAAAAAAAATCTCAGGGTGCATCAGTAGCCATCCAGCGTCCAAGTGAAGAGAGCTAATAATCCTACTACTACATATCAGACCACGGTTCCCCACCCACATTTTCAGAAAGACATGTCCTTAGGGGAAGAGCTGATGGATCTAGGAACCTTACTAATAATTCATTCACAGATTTTTTCTGTGTTTTCTTTTCTTCTTTTCCTTCTTTCCCTATTTCTTTCTCCCTTTTTTCCTGCCTTCTTTCTTTTCAACCATTCTTAGTTCCTTCTATGTACCAACCAAGGTGAAAAGATTTGAGTACAAAAAAGCCCACCCCCCATGAAACTCACTCACTGCCTGCTCTGGGAGATAGTCCTATGTTCAAGTAAATGACAAAGCCATGCGTTAAGCATTATAGCAGAAGTTTTCTCAAAGTGCAGTGAGAGCACTAATGAGATTCTTGTGGAATGAGAAAAGACTAAAGAAACCACAGAGATTGAGACAGAGAATTGAGATACTCACAAGAACATCTGCAGTTATTTGGAAGATTCCCATGCAGAAAGGAACTGGAAGGTTTAGTATGTATAGCTTCAAGGGACCACCGTGGAGAGGTTAGGGAGGAATTCAGTGAGGCAAATTTTGGCTTAACATGTGCTACTTTTATAACTAAAGCTTTCCAACAATGGAGTGATGGTCTGAACTCTCTACCCATAGAAGCATGTGAGCAGTGGTGAAAGGGCCATCTGTAATCAGATGCTATCTGGAGGAAACCTCCTTTGGGTCTTCTTTACTTTAGGTTTCTAAATTCATACTTCAATTGCAGTTAAGGCAGGCAAGGTATTAATGACTGATTTTCTGGAGTACTCCTGGAGCTATTTTCATTTTAACAGGAAGTCTTAAGAGGGAGAGGAAGTGAAGAGAACATCTAATCTGCTGTGATCAAAAAGAATTCCAGTGAATGTCATTGTGGGTGAAATTCTTTGTGGACAGGGAGGCTTCCCAGAGCTCCTCCACTCTCAGAGGTTATAAACTGCAGCCTACAGGGCATATCTAATCTGCACACCTGTTTTTAAATTTATTGCTAACATTTGAAAATCTGATTTCACCTAAAAATTCAGATTTTCACATTTTCTTGAAAAATCGGACAGAACTAGACCTGTATTTATCACCAGCTAATAATTATTAGGGCCCAAATGACTTCCTTTAAAAGAAACATGCACTCTGTCCAGTTCACCATACTCCTTACCATTCTTTTTGTTACTCCTAAACCCAGCATGTGGTTTCCATTTAGCTTTGTGCTGATGTCACTGTTCTAAAACACGTCAGAAGTCACCTGCTGTGTGGAGAGCCTTTATGGCAACTTTGAT